AATATTAGGGCAGTGAAACTGTTACTTTAACTCTGTTTCATTCGGAGTTAAATTTATAGCAATTTAGTTCATTAGTATGGCAACAGGAGCAAGGAGCGGTGACACTGACAGTGTAATAGCTGATGTGTGCTCCCCAGCTGCAATTCTCTCCCTTTCTGAAGCAGTTATGAGTTATCCATCTCTTTCCATAGCTAAAATACTGCACTGTAAAGTACTTTGTAAATGTAAGGGAAATTAGAAAGGCGTTTTTGAAAGCTCTGACATATATAGCAAGAAATTCTCTTATCAAACACAGCAAGATCTCCTAACAGGCCTTAAAGAGAAGGGCAGAAACAATATACAGTTGACCAGAGGCTGACCACAGCGTGGTTATTTAGTGTTCTACTGTACTTTAATTTGGTCAATACAGTCGTTTTAAATTTTATTTTAAAAGACAGTACAGCATCTTACCTCCACGTTGGGTCATCTTTTACTAAAGCAGAATAGCAAAATTTAGTAGTTTATTCCTTTAAACTTACTAGCTTATTGTGTTGTGTGAATAAATGAACTGATGGTTATGAAACAGGCAGATGTGTGATAACCCAAGCAAGTTTTTTCTCTACCAGCAAAAGATGACAGACCTGTAGCTTCTCTGCTTTTTCTGATAACATATGGTAGTGGATTAGCATCATCCACACTGTAAGAATCGGATCAATGACAATATGGCTTTCAAGACAACCTCTGGGTGAAAGAAAAATTTCATGAAGATCCACCAAAATTTAGCTTTTTCTTGATAGACCAGAATGAGATTTTCCCTTTATACCATTTTCCTCCACAAAAAAAAAAAAAAAAAAAAAATTACATTTACCACCTCCATCAAAACTATACCCTAAAAACAAACTAATACTACCATGCCTACTTCCTCGACTTTGCCTTTTGGACAGGTGATCCATCCTAGAAAAAGTGAACCCGAGATACTTGACACAGCAAATATGTTGCTGGTATACATTTGAGACTTAGGACCAAAAAAAACCAGTTGTGCTGAAAAGAAGGCAAATTACAAATAGTAATTTATCTTTTTCATGTCAGATATCTGCAGCGCTAAAACAAAACAGCCAACGCAGCCAATATTGAGGAAGAAGAGAAGGACAGCAGCTGTCATGTAACTCATCATTCTAATTCCCTGGTTCAGCACCCTTATTTAAATCATATGCCCAAAATTTCTTTAGTAAGAAATACTGCCAATAGAAAACTGTATCCTCTGCAGCTAATAGTATAAGGATATCCTGACAAAGCACTGGCTCATGAGATCAGATTGTCAATAAACATACACTCTCAATTTGTCTCTCATATAAGTCATTGGACTGTGGTAACTTGATAGAGGAACAAGCAGCACATGGACCTACTATAGTGAAGCAGACATATATATATAGATAGATAATCTGTGCCTGCTTGCATACTCATTCTCTCTCTCTCTCTCTCTCTCTCTCTCTCACACACACACACACACACACACACACACACACAGAGTGCATGTGCATTGTCAAGCTATTTACATATAATCTACTTTGCTATAGTATATCCATGTCAAGGTACCAAAGTAGATTCATTAAGATAACATGTAGACTTTAAAAAAGCATATGATGAATATGAGTGGTGGAAGTACATGGTAACGTACATGCTTCTCTCAGCTGAGAAAGATACATAATTATAAGCAGTTCTGGACTAGGAATGAAATACAAAATGTCTGTGCATTCCTGATACTGCAGAGAGGACCACTGGCTTCTATCTAGAGGCAACGTGAATATAAAATATAAATAGATTAGCATAAGCTATCCTGGTTCCAGTTGATTGATTACCCTGCATTTCTAGAAAGAGATGAAAGCATGAAGGAGTTTATAACTCAAGTTTGTTGAGGACTACAAATAACAGAGAAATGGTTAGAGGGAGGGGACATGTCTATTAATTACAGTTTTTCATCAGCTCTGGAATGTAATACTCCATGATTTCTTTGAAGGTTCTAGTTCCTCAAAAACAGCAAGTTATAGAAATAAGAACAAAAAGAAAACATCAAGCTTGGTTAAAGTCTACTCACCCCCAGTTCTAATGCCACTAGGAGTGTTTTCTTTTAAAAAGCTGGTTCTTATTTAATTAATATTCAGTGAAGTCTCAGCATAATAGTATTTAACTCCATGTTGCAGGAAAAATAGGAGATCTAATTTTCCTACCCCTACACAATCCCACTGAGGCAAATGAGGTTGCATGCATGTGGACAGAAGGATAGTAATTTAAGCCAAATGTTTCCATTTTTAACTCTCTTCAACTTCCATAATTACTTGACGACATTTTGAACATAAGTCTCTGAAACAAACAAGCCTTTCAAAAAGAAAAAAAAGTCAGTCAACCATGTGAGTTTACTTACACGCGGGTGTATACATGAATTGCTTCCTTTGGGATGAAAGCAGGCACGGATTTACTACCAGGATGTCAAACAGATGACCCGAAGGCCAGACCTGAACCATGGAGCCCTGTGATCCAAGACATGGGTCTTAGAGCTGGACTGGGCCCCAGACACAGCATGTCACAGGGGGTTGGTCTGAGGCATGCTCTGCACATAGTGCATGAGGCTGGCACAGGGCATGTGCTGTATGGGGTGTCCCACTGGACTGGTCCTGTGAGCTGGATCCAGCGCACAAAGATGGCCTGGGGCCTGGTCTAAACTGGCTGCACAGGGCTGGTCTAGTGGGACCCGCTATACAGCATATGCCCTGTGTACCACATACAAAGCAAATCCTAGAGCAGGGCAAGTGCATGCTGCAGGCAGTATGCGATGCTGAACAGCGTGAGCACTGCATGGGGCACAGGAACATGACATGCAGTGTGCACTGCCTGCGGTACCCCACCCGACAGATCCTGCATGCTGTAACCCTCTGTAACCACTGTAACCCTCTCTGGCCTGCAGACTGGATCAATGACCCTTATCCAGCCTGTGGGGGTGAGTTTGACACTCATGATGTACTGTATTACACATCAGCTGTTCTGTAGTAAATGCCTATGTGCATGCCCTTTCCCCACAATAGCTGGAAGCTAATCTGCAGTAACCTACCCCTCTCTCAGTGAGATATAAAGATACAAAGAAAGAAATATACTGATGCTGCTTTACACGGTAGCTGCATGTTGATGACCCTAACTAAATACAGTATGCTGGTTTTATTCACCTACATTAGCTGACATTATTCTTGTCTTGACTTAAAATGCAAAGTACATAAATTATATCATAGAGATACTAAGGAAGACTTAAATCTGTTTTATAGGCAACTAAAACTGCATAGACTAATGTACCAAAATCCAGATTAGGCAAGTTTGCATATTTATACTGTACATTTTTTTTTTAAAATCATCATTTAAAAATGTAGATACACATGCTGTTATTGTCACTTAAGATAAAGGAAATTTAAATTATGTATCAATTAGAATACAGTTGAGAGCCATCTGCTTCCTATATTAATATATGTGGATTTTATGCTTATGGGGAATTTCAGAAAAGAATGGTAGCTAGAAAGGGTTATGTGACAATGGCTAAGCACAGAAGAATATCTGAAAACTGGAAAATTAAACATAATAATGAAAGCAAATTTCACCAATGACCTTTACCGTATATGATGAAGGCAGGCACTGGATTTTTAAAAATGTGAAATCATAGAAGATATTTATGAACTAGCTCTCAGTGGAATGGAAGTAGTTACATGCAAATTTGACCTTTAATGTATAAATCAAAGATCACTATTATTCTTATTAATACTTTGCATGGGATCATTTATAGTGCATCTGATGCCATGGGAGTCACATAACAAGACTTCAAAAATGAAAAAAATTGAAGTAACCTTTGCTTTTTTCTTCATAACCTGAGACTTACCCAAAAACAAGGTAGAAAAATTATGTGACTATCGTATCAAAGAGGAAACCCCCCCAATCACTTGAACCTTACAGAAATTTTATTTTACATCTAATAGCAACTTGAACAGTAATTTAAACTTTGTATTAGGCAAGATTTCCAACAATCAACCTAATCTGTAACACATTTTCACTATCATCTCACTATATGGCAATACGTACAACTTTATTTTAATTGTACAAAATTCTACAAGAAGATATGTTCTCATGAAAACATGTCTCATATTTGAACTCAATTCAGTACATTGTACACTACATTTAAAAACTGGAATAACTTGAAAGCAATGTAATATGTGCCATCAAGTACAATAGTGTAAGAAAATATACCTTACCACTAAGGCTGGAACTTGATGCACTTTTGCAGCAGGGGTTCCTGGTCGTGGGTAAAACTGATTAATAAAGAGGCTTGGAAACCTGTACTCTTCTACAAGTTTCATTGTTTCTTGAAAATCTTCATCAGTCTCCCCAGGGAAACCACAGATGATGTCTGTAGCAATTGTTATTCCAGGCACTCTGCAATGGAAATGGGAAAGAAAAGAAGTTAAATTGCAAACTCTCTCTCTATTCTGATGAAGAACATCTTGGGTTTGAAAGCTTGCCTAACTTTTCCCAACCATGCAATTGGCCCAATAAAAGATATCGCCCACAAAAACCATTAACTCTTTCTATACCAACCCTCTCTCCACACAAAAATCTTGTTTCTGTGAAAGATGAGGGAATGTGAACTTAACTTCTCTTCAGCCAGAGAACTGAAACCCAACAATATTTCTAGGGGAAAAAAACAGATTTTTTTTTTAAACACTGAAGTTCATGTCTGTTATTTGGGGGTAAACATGAGGAACAGAAAAACAACTGAACATTTGTAATAAGTATTTGGGTCAGAATAAGGTGAAAGATGATGATGAATACTTGGACCAACTACTTAGGCACTGAAGGCATACATTACTCCCAGAGCTTGTAAATTCTTTGAACTGTAGTTAGCCTGAAAAAAAATTATTAGCTCTGACCTTTACCACTAGAATTTGTAAGTTCCTTAACTGTTGTAACACAGTAGGCTGTGAAGAATAACATCTCCAAAGGAGGAACCTGACATCCTGTGGAGTTTGGCAATTCTAGACATATTTGGCTTTTGGAGACAACAATAGCTTACTTTAGTCAGAACTAACCTCTTGACTCAGCATTCCCTAAAATAAGTCAAGACACCCAACTCTCCCTATATTAAAAAAGAGAAACCAGAAGAAGGTGCAACTATCATCAGTTGTACAGTACTGTTGAAGCTATCTTCACAATGCTGAGTTACTCTATTGGCATTCCAAAATACAAAAATATTGATAAACTGGAAGGAATCTTACTTCTAAGAAAAGAGAAGGATTAAACAACTATACTGCAGCACTAGAACAAAAATACTCTAAGTGTGTGAAGGTTGTAGAGATGACCAGGACTGCTCTCCCCAGAATCTTGTTCTGAGTTGAGAAGAATCCACAAGTTTACTATAAATTGCCTAGTTTGCAGGTAAGGTCCCTAATGCAGGGTGCCGCTTTCCTTTTTCTGACCATTTCTTCTCAACACTTGAGACAGATTCCCTGGATAGGGTACAGGTAGGAGATTTTCTCCTCCTTTTTCATGTAGGTGATATGTGGGCAAACAAATGCGAGTATTTTAATAGCCAAAGAGAACTACAATTCATTGTAAGGCAATAACACTGGGAAAGAAAGTCATTTTTTGATGAGAAGGACTGTAACCCCAATGTAAGATTGGCATGGTGGGACATATGAGGGGAAAATGTAGGCCTGACAGATGTGGAAAAAAACCCCAAAAAAACAAAAAACCGCACTATACCAGAAGAAGCAGTGCATTAGTTCGACCCGGCTCTGCAGTGTCTGTATAGATTGGGTGCTTCAGTGGGGCTTTTTGGTGCTTTTAGCTAAAGCTGATTCAATCAGCTTTTCTATAAAAGCGCCAAGAAAACCATGCTAAAGTGCCTTATCTATGCAGACATTGAGTGACCTGGGTCCAACTAACACGATGCCTCTTCTGGGCACGCACTGGGCTCAGCGCAGGGGTGAGCAGAGTTAAAAGTAAAGTGCCATTTGGGGGTTTGGTTTTTTACATCTGTAAGCAGCCCTGGTTGTTTTTTTTCTTTTTTTTTTTTTACTTCTAAGTACAGGGAATTCTATTCCACTGCTGACAGGAACAGTATATTCAGACCTGTTGCTTGTGCTCTCTTCTACATTTGCCATGTTTAGTTAGCTGTATGGGAGTCATCTAAGCACTGACAACAGAATAGGTTTCTCCACCCTGAAGTGCATTTCTGAACACAAAATCTAATTTTTAAGACTGACATAAAAATAAAATTGAAATTGCTTAAAACTGCAAAAACGAAATTTAAGAAAATGTATATGAAAACAATTTAATTCAACCCACCTGATAAAAATACCGGAAAAGATTATCTTAAAAAAAGAGGGGGAAGAGGGGGAAAATGTTGGAGGGGAAAATGTTAGTTGCAACCTACATGCCCAGGAAAAAATCTGACATCATGGGCCAAAGAGCCTGGAGTGGCTCCCACTGGCTTACTAAGCCTGACAAGCTGCAGAATATACAGTTCTGCTTGAAATGAAGTAATGTGAGCATCCACTGTAGCTAAGAACTGAATAAACATAGAGGAATTTTGTATTCTATGACACCTTCCCTGCTCACACAGCAAATATTTTGAGCTATAATGGCAGGCTTAAAGGAGACAAAATATATTACTATACAAATTAATACCAAATAGCATTAGATGAGATTTCTCGTAACATTAATAAAACACTCATTAGGTTTGACAAGACCATTAGACTTTAGTTATTTTAGCCATTTTAACGATTCTGTTGGCAACAGTATAAGCATTTACTACCTATGGTACTGGCATTGCCATCATTCATAGGAGTTTGCCTGTTTCTATGGCAACATGAATTATAAGGCTCAATCAAACTAGTTTCAGTAAAAAAGAATTTCCCCCATCCCTACCCCCCACCAGTAGTCCCTCAGTGAAAAGGAAATTAAACAGTTTTAAAATTCATAAACCGTACAACTGCCTGAATTCCATTTGGCGATAAGGTGCTAATTACCTTAGTAATTAGATTTCTTCCTGGATGGGATTATTTTACATTCAAGGAAAAACTGAGTTTTGGAAGTGGAATAAGGACCAACATCTATTCAGCAACAGCAATTAAATTACAGTCTAATCCAGCATGCCTGCCCTAAAATGCAATATTACAATGTGCCATTTTATACCACTTTTGACCACTGTATTAGAAAATAGTTTAAAAAACAGTAGAAAAGGTAAAATGCTTGAAAAACTTATTTAAGAGAAAATTCAATTATTGAAACAATCAGGCTCCCAGTCCTCCTTCACCACACAACAGACAAATAAGCAGAATTTATTCCTTATGCACAAAATCATTTGTCAGGATTGAGAGAGCAGAAAGGAATTCAGAGGTTATTGTAAAAAAAAAAAAAAAAAATACACATGAATGCATATTTGAAAATGAAGGCAACCTTAGTGTCTGAGAGACTGAAACAAAGTACTACAAGATTATTTTTTTCTGCGAACAGTCATGGCCCTTTTAAAATACAAATACAACTATGAAATAATGTGTAAATTAAGCAACGAAGTTTGGTTTCTGCATGCTGGTGAATCAGCCAGTATTACACAATATACTTTTAAATTAACTTCAAAAGCATTCTGCATTCCTCTTTTGAGTCCAACACAAAAATGTTTTGGGTGTCCATAAAAATCATTCCATTGTGGGTATACCTGCATTTTAAGAAACTTTTTTCCTATAATATTGTATACTTTCTATAATACCTGCTATATAATATCTTATCGGGTCAGTAGAGACGCTCTATAATGCAGCATTTAATGGACTCATTTAATGAGCACAAATATACAATAGATCTGATGAACAGGGATCGTGGTTTTCTCTGATAAAAAAATTCCCAATTTTCAGTTTTAAAAAAGTAACTCAAAATCCACATTATTCCATAATTAAAACGAAACATCACACACACACACACACACACACACACACACACTGGTATTTCATTTTAATCCAGGAAAAATGTGGATTTTGGGTTACTTCCTTTAAACTGAAAATTGCGGATTTTTTTAAAATCAGAGAACACCAGGATCCCTGCCATCAGCAGGATAAATATTAGGGCTGTGCAAAGCTTCGGTCGCTGATTGGATTCAGAGGAGATTTGGCAGCTGAATCTCTGAATCCAAATTGAATCAGAAGATCTATTAAAAGGTCCAAATCAAATCCAAAGCCTCTGAATTGATTCAGAAAAGATTCAGAGATTTGTATTGGCCGGGGAGAGGTAGGCGCAGCTGGGCGGCTGCAGGTTTTCCCATGACTCCCCTGGCTGTGCCTGCCTTTCCCTGGGCACGGGGAGCCACAGGAGAAGCTCCCATGGATGCCCCGCCCAGCTCCATTGCTAATGGCTGCCAGCAACATGTAAGAGAATGGGAGAAACTAGGCCTGTATAATCACTTCTTCTTATTCTGAAGTGATGCCTTTCCATGGTGGCATGGTGGATTGATTAAAGTACTTGATATACATCAAGAATATGGGAACATCTCTCTTTCTTCTCCCTGCAGGCTAGAGGTCAAAGGCCATTAAGAGAAGACATGCTGAGAGTCAGAGGGCCTGGACAAATAGCTTGCTTGTTCCAGTGTAACCCAGTTTTACACTGAAATAAAAAAAGAAGGAAGCACGCACATGACAGTCCGATGCTGGTATAACTGACTAGAATCCAGCATAAATTACTCCAGGGAAAAACATGGGTAAAGCCATATTAGTATACATGATAGCACAGGAGTTTCTTATCTACTTCTACTGACAAGTAGCCTGTTTGCTCAATGGTAAGAGGCTACTTTCCCACCACTTAGGGGCAAATAACTAAATAGTGCCTACTGCAGCAGTTGGCCCAGAAAAGCTGGATGCCTGCCCAAACCACACAGTTGTAAGCACAATATCTTCTTTTCTGCAATGGTGCACTCATCAGGCAGAAGCTCCTGATACTTCTAATTTAGACCCCTGTTGGAGTTAGGGTCCTACCTGAGTACATGATGGGGAATACCTATCTGTGAATAGAACAATGAGAGGATTAGTGAGATGCCTCTCAAAATTCCAAATTAAAATTGTTTTGGCCACTCAATTTAACGCTCGAAGGTAAGGAAGGGTTCATGTAACAGTGAGTGCAGCTGCACTAGAAAATTCAGCATTCCACATGGCTCCCACTATAGTCCCAAAATAAATGGCAACAGAAGAATTGGGTTTTTGTGTTCATACCAGTAGATGTATGTCCAGCATATCATTCTCTAAGGTAGAAGAACAGATTTGAGCTGGTGACTGGACCTTTAACTTTAGAGATAGGTTCCCTAAAGCCTGCACAATGCTGACATTTGTACAAGCAGTTCTATTACTTCACTGACTGTCTGCTTTAGAAAGAGAGGAGATTATTTCATCTTTCTGAGTACAACTACATGTAGCATGATAGTCATTTAGATGCTGCAGTGATAAGCTTAATAAAGTAGCTAAAAGGAAATAAAGAGGTAAGAGAGCTATTGAGGAAATTTAGGTTCAAAATAAAAATAGAAAAAGCCCATGAGTGATTTGGGAAGATGAATCGCATGTAATTTGAGGTTGCCAGAAAACAAATTTTCACAAAGCAGAATGCCTAAGGGAAATTATCAGATACTGTTGGAAATTTGCTAGCGTTCAGATTCTGTATGAATCATTATGTGCAGCCTTAATTACAGAAAACATTTCCTTCAATTCTAGCAAAGTTCACATTCAATCAAGAAATTAAGTGAAAGGAGGACACAACTACACGAGACGCTAAATGCGCAATAAACTAATTAGACTGTTATTACAGGTACTAAACTTAATGCACAGTTACCATGGAGCATTAATGCACATGTAGACATACCCAATGTGTCCTTCCACTTCCTTTTCAACACCTAAGATTTAGTATCCTTGACCTATTACTGATTTAACATCCTCCAAGAGGATTTTAAAACATGTTTTTTCTGAATGTCAGACAATACTAAAAAAACCCCAAAACAACTCGAATCTAAGTAAGAGGTAATGTCACCCTTATAGCTTTACTGTGTCAGCATACGTTTCATGTTGCTACTTATAGTCTTAATGTTGTGGTAGTGTTGGAATGATGTAGCTGTGACAGTTCAGGAAATGGCAAAGATTTTTGCGGATTATATCTTTTATTGGACCAATTGTATGGGTAGGATAGACAAGCTTAAAAGCATACTTAGGTTTTTATCATGGCCCTCAGAGGGAAATTACCAGAACTATTTCTTGAAATTTCTCAGCCACCCTGAAATTCTAGGAGATATGGGTGAGTAACTATCTCACTGTTACTGTTTTGAAAGTTAACCAAGCATATTCATAGATTCATAGATGTTAGGGTCGGAAGGGACCTCAATAGATCATCGAGTCCGACCCCCTGCATATGCAGGAAAGAGTGGGTCTAGATGACCCCAGCTAGATACTCATCTAACCTCCTCTTGAAGACCCCCAGGGTAGGGGAGAGTACCACCTCCCTTGGGAGCCCGTTCCAGACCCTGGCCACTCGAACTGTGAGAAGTTCTTCCTAATGTCCAATCTAAATCTGCTCTCTGCTAGCTTGTGGCCATTATTTCTTGTAACCCCCGGGGGCGCCTTGGTGAATAAATCCTCACCAATTCCCTTCTGTGCTCCCATGATGAACTTATAGGCAGCCACAAGGTCACCTCTCAACCTTCTCTTGCGGAGGCTGAATAGATCCAGTTTCTCTAGTCTATATGGTATGGATTTTATATACATACATATATGCATACACATACGTATACACACATACATATAAACATACACACATATATGTATGCATATATGCATGTATATAAAATCCAAACCATATATTGTATACCCTTGTTTAACTTTCAAAACAGTAACTATATAAACACCCCCCCACACACTGGGTTGTGCAGAGAGAGAGTGGGGGGGGGGGGGGGGG